ACCCCTAAAGTCTTGCTTTGAATATAATTGATTGAAAAAAGGTAGAGAGCATGCTGAAAAGGTGGAAACTCATCTCAAGAATTCAACCTAATTCAATGAAAAGTGTAATATTAGAGTTAAAAACAGCAGGAAATTAGTTATGCCCATGTAGAGCTAAAATACCTTTATACGAACAGCACTCTGCAGAGATATAACACAAATAATAAACTTGCAATATGTGTTTGATACATCCCCTCGATTCTACCCCAAACACCTAGTACAAAAACACAATTATCTCAGCATGACTGCCAACAAAATTCATAAACATATCACTGGCTCTGTCGCAGACAATCAGTGGAAGATTTACAATAAAAACAACAACTACTGGCGTTTGTTATTGTAGACAAAGTAGAATGCAGTCATGACGAGTCATTAGTTTATCACCATGACCAAAGGAAAAACACATTTTGTCGAGTAACACATTACTCAAAGCGTGATTTGCCTCTGGTGTGAAGAGGCCCTGACTTCACAGCCTGCCTCAGGTCTCCGTGTTGACACTGTTATGGGAGATTATGGTGACCATTTGTCAGAAAGGACAGACTGCTGCTGAAACTACCACTACATGAGGTGTGAGGTCTATCACAGTTATTAGCATATGGTCCCAGTTACAGATCAGATGCAAGAGGCATGACTGACAGGGATGAGAGGAAATGTCAGCAAATGGAATACTTATCAAAGTGATTCAACCCTTATGCAATCAGCGGAGTACAGTCACTTGAAGGATTCAATTACATCAGCATATGTATCACATGGGACACATTTTGCTCCATGTCAACTCACTGTAGACATCAGATTTAACTACAGAGATATGTGGAGGAGAAGTCAGAAGAAAATAAAAGTCTAAAATATTTGCTTTGTGCACGCACATTCAACAAATACCAGATGAACAATAATTACATCATCCTGGTAAAGCTCTCTATGTGGATCAGCTGTGATGCTCTTGGCCCAGATTAAGTCGTTGGCTTGATGCATGATAAATGTTATTTATATCACAGCTGGCAAAAAAAGAACAAATCTGTATATCATCGCCAAATATTTTATCTTTATCGATGTAAACTAAGCAATGAGAAATGTGCAGACGCAGCCTCATTTGACTTTCAAGTTTAATCATTTGGGAAATTTGCTTTGTAGCTTTCTTGCTGAGAGTTAAATGAGATTGATACAGTAAATGGAATAGTCCCGATGAAGCAGATAAACCAAGCTCTTTAACTATAAGTGCTTTGGAAATTGAAATATTATATTATAGATAAATACTTCTAAGAGAAATAAACAAAAGAGTGAACGCAGAAGTAGTTATGGATGTCATGTCAGTTATTTTTGGCTTATAATCTTTTATGGGAACAAGTATTTTACCAGTTTCAACATATATAAAATATCTCAGAAGAATAAAAAAAAACATGTCAATGAAACTATAATTCTGAACTGGGGGAATGCATTGCGACCAGGAATGGGGCACAGTAACTCTCAGAGGCACACATTTAACACACACACACACACACACACCAGCACACACACACAGCAGCAGCGGCCACCCCCACATATCCACAAACCTGCATTCCGGAAAAGACATTTTCCATGAGTTAATCTTTCTACAGGGAGACATAGCAAGAAGATGTCCTTCAATGCATCAATTTAATCACTCAAATACGAGGTGGGGCCAACTGTCGAGAGGCTTAGCCTGCTGAACAGAACCAAATCATGAGTGCAAGTGGAAGACATCTTGGAAGTGGGCCAAAGCGTGGCGGCGAGGGGCATTCTGCTCATAACTGGGGGAGCGACCTCATTTTCCGAATAAAAGCCAGTTTACATAACACGTCTCTCCCCATGACAGGGAGCACTAGGCAGCTGCTGCCAGGCCTGTGGCTTTCACTCAACTACCCAGAGTTCACTGAAAAGTATTCTCTCAGCAGAGCCACAACCCTCTACTGCAAGTTTCCAATATTAACATGTTATAACAAAAAAACGGTCTTAAATTGAAAGTAATGCATAAACACTTTGGTAACCTCAACTATTTAATTGCATAACTCTTATTCCCTGAGATCCAAGCATTGGAAGGAAAAGGGAAACCATCAACCACAGTGACTAAGGTAATGGGTCCACCACTGTCTATATCCTTGACTCTCCTTCAGTTAAAAAAAAGGAAAAAAGTTTGGCAGGGGTAAATTGGGTTGTGGCTTATAATCTTTTATAATAACTATTTTACCAGTTTCAACATGTCTAAACTTTCTCTGAGGAGAAAAAAAACATGTCCAGGAATCTATCATTCTGAACTAGGGGAATTCACCACAACCAGGCAAACATGTTATAATCTTTTGATAATTAAATCATAATTCAGATATATAAAAAAACCTGACTCACAAAACAGTGATTTGACACATTTGAACTATAATATTTTTAAAAGAAGAGTAGTGGTTCATGATGGATGGAGGCTGAACAAGAGCAGGACAAATGGCAAAACAGGTGTACAGTCCTGTCTGAAGAAAAAGATAATCCAGTACGACAGCGTGGCTTTTTACTGTAAATATTTTTTAGAGGTCTGTCATACAGAGAAATACATGATTTCTTAATTGTTGACAATAGGCTACTTGCTTTGGTATTTTAATTCATAGAACTAAGGAAAATACAGTATTTCACTAGTCTTACCTTCTAAATTAATATAAAAGCAAATAAATGTGATGTTAGTCCATTTATAAACTCAACAATAAAAGTCAGCACAAAAACAACACAATAAAACATGTCCAGGTGAAGTACATGAGGAAGACTGTTTATGTAATCAGAATGTGATTCTCCATGCTGGACCAGGATGACATACTTGGAGGCGCTCTGTGAAGCAGGAGCCTCTGTTTTCATTGGCAAAGACACGTTGGACAGTATAAAGTATTAGTAAGAACACATTCATCCTCAATGCATTCCAGTACAGGCATTTACCAAAGACTCCATGCGCACATCATCATTTATCACTGCACCTTATGAAACACAGTAATAATAATTTAGGACAAGGTAGGTTGAAGACTTTTGAGATTTAAAACAATTTCAAGACCTGTGTCACGTCTGTTATTATGGTCTTCAGGTGGTTTAGTAAGAATAGGCACATATTGACGGCCTTGGCAATAGTGTAAGTGATGTAGCACAAATGATAGGTAGATTTACGGAGAGTATAAAGCCCAGGAGAGAGCTAAATATCTGAGATGGTGTTGAACTGTGTAGGTGTGGAGGCCTGTTTGGAGACTTAGCTGCTTTCTGAGTTACTGTTGGCAGTTTAACGAACAGCTGATATATAAACCAGGAGACAGTGCCGAGTGATTTTGAGGTCCAGCCCTGGATGCTTACAACTATAGCATAAGTGATTTCACAGCCTCTACTGTAAAGCTGTATTTAATACCATTTCATTGTTCCATTTCAGAATAGCACAGTGAAGAAATTCAATGTGTTTAAATGTACACAGCATGAGGTTTAATAAAAGGTAATACACACCTTAGATTATGTATTACATGCACATCTGTTCCAATGTTAAACATCAGTATCATTTGATCAATGCTGACATCAACGACTAAAGAATTACATGAAGGCAAAACAAAGTTATGTGTTGCATGATACACTACGACCCAATATTCCTGTTGAATTAGTCAACAGATGATCTAATTCCCTCACACTGCAGCTCGGAGCTGTCCAGGAGATATTTCATCAGGACACAGGTCATTTACACACCTCCGGAGACCAGTCATCATATGTCATAAAGAGAGTCAAAGCATTTTAATCTCACATCTGCTCTTCATTACCATTCCATGCAAAAATAAACACAGGGCTGCAGTTAGGCTATTGCACCTCACCCCAGGAAAAGGGAGAGAAGAAATCGGGAAGAGGCAGAAAGAGACAGCAAGAGAGAGAAAATATTATTAGGCATCATGAGTCCAACAAAACAAAAATTCCACAATTCCTATGGAAAATGACATTGTGTTCCTACTATGAAATCAGACCACTTCCAGGCCTTAGTCCCATCCATGGAGTTTTCCTTTTACGAGGCACTATATAACATCACAGTGACAGATACACCACAGCAATTTCATAGTCCATCCCTTCCCCAACAACTCCTGCACACTCCACAACAAAATATCACTTTACTGATGCTGATGTTACAGTGCACAAAGATTTCCCTAGTTCATATCTAGATGTGTATGCACCTTATCAACCTGTAGCATTTAGTAAGGCTCCAAACCAGGGCCTTATTCTTATAAGACATTTCTGCCCAGACATTTTTACATTTAACTGACTGGGATTGCTCAAAACCCTAAAATATCTTTGTGTTTTGCAAGATTAGTTCATATTCCGGGAGATGACAGCAGCTAAGATCCAATTTGTTCTACAATACTGTGCATGCAACTTCAATGCTAGACCTTGAGATCAATTTACCATGGAGCCTCACAAAAAACCCTCTATCATGACAGACTGAATCAGTGGGAAACTTGGTAAAAGAAGACAGCTGTGATTCTGTACATTAATACATCTTCAGCACCATGTCACAAAAGACACTCTGTATTTGTTTGTGTATTTTGATTTCTTAAAAACGTGCTAACTCGGCTCACATGATGCACCAACGCCAAGCCAGACAGTTTGACCTTTGACCCTGAAACTAACCGGACAAGTTTATTCATCAGTTATAACTTGTAGTATAATTCTGTGGCAGTTAAGATACACATAAGCACACGTACACTCACACACACACACACTCACATGACTACAGAAGACAGAGGCCAGCCTGTTTAACAAGTAGGTCAGATCAGAGAGAGAGAGAGAGAGAGAGACATTGGCTGCAGCAAGCACAGCATTTAGTGCCATCATTGGCTTTTCTAAACCAGCTGAAAAGACACTGAAGAAGTCTAAAGTCACACAGTTATGCAATGTAAGCTATTTGTGTCACATTAAGAATAGATTATTCAAAATGTGTGTGTTTTGAGTCTCACCTGAGGGCAGTCTTTGATGTAATGGCCTTTGTTGAAGCACAGGTGGCATAAGTAGTTAGGTGGGGGTCTTTTGTTTGGTTTCCTTGGCTCTGAAGAAAGGGAAAGGTCTGAGAAATGGTCCGTCAGGGTGTTGAGTCCATCCACGATGTTATTAAGGGAGCCATAGGGTGACACATTCTTATATACGTTGTTGTTTAAGGCCTAGAAAATAAGAAAAATAGCAAAAAAGGTTCAGTTTTAATATTGTATTCTCCATATATTTTTCTCTTTAATTTGCCATGTATAACATATTCTCTCAAGGTATTTTCATAATCAATCCACAAAGAATTCCCTGCTCTCAGTTTCATAGTCTGACTTGTTGACATACATAATACACTGAGAACATTACCACATACATGATAATATCGACATCAAATGTTGCATCTGGTTTCGTATTGGAGTGTTAAAAATGTACACATTAATCCCCAATTTCCTTTGGCATGGTCTCTGTCTTATTTTCTGGTGCACCAAAAAGTGAAGAAAAAAAAAGAGGTCTCTCCAAGATCATTTCTCTCATTAAATTCAGAACATCTGGCGAGAGGCCCAGCTGTGCTCATGAGCTGGAAAAGTACTGAGCATGTCCACAGAGAAAGACAGGACTTTACGGAGGATGACTCATTGTAAACAAGATGGGAGGCATGTTTCCTCGCCAGCCTGTGGAACATCAGCAATGTCACCATGCACTGTTGGCGGTAAACTAGCCATGGTCAGTATTTGTAGTCTACTAGGAGCCACAGGGAGCAGTGTGGCATGCCACAGGGCCCAGTGAATTCATAGAAGATGCCCTCTGAATATTAATAACAAGGAAAGCATTTCCAGCAGTTCCTTATTTCCCTTCTCATTCCTATCCTCCTTTGTTGAAATGTTACCACGAACAACAGGCAGGAATTGACTTCAGTGTGAAATTATGTGGATTTTAGCACATGCATTTTCATTTTTAGATGGTCAGGAAGCTCTAAATGGTCATCTGCCATGACATTTAATAGTTTAAATGCAATAATGACAAATATTTGAAACACCCTCAACAAGTAGAAACATCCCTGAGTACATAAACATGATTAACTGAACTCTTCATCCTCAGCTGACGGATATGTCTTTTTTTCAGTCACAGTTTTATGTCTGGGAAATAATGTTACTGTAGATGTTCAATGTTGCACAGCGCAGAAACCTTAGACTTGGCAACTTGGCCAGGGCTGAACGCCAAATCTTTATCTGCGGGCTGTGAGATTGTGTTGCTAACCAGCTCCAGCTTTAAAACTCATGTTCATTTATTTCGTGTAGTCGTCGTAAATCATGCATAACGGCTCGTAGTTTCCATCCATCTTCCAAGTTTTCCATCTGCCATGTGTTTCAGCTCTGTGTATTACTATGTTATCTCTCCTTGTGGACATGTGCATGTTTTTGTTCTTGCTAAACTTAATTCTTAGTGCAGGTTGTAAAGTTATTTCAACAAATATAAAACAGAACACTTTGCTAACTTTGTCTTCCTCACATTTCTTCAGTTTGGCTTAAAACCTTCTACTGTCAGCCCAGAGGAAACTGATTTCACACACATCTGCTAATGGTGGGTTTGTTTAATTTGTGTGTGTGTGTGTGTGTGTGTGTGTGTGTGTGTGTGTGTGTGTGTGTGTGTGTGTGTGTGTGTGTGTGTGTGTGTGTGTGTGTGTGTGTGTGTGTGTGTGTGTGTGTGTGTGTGTGTGTGTGTGTGTGTGTGTGTGTGTGTGTGTGTGTGTGTGTGTGAAAAAGTGAGTGAATGAGTAAGTGACTTAGTGAGTGAGAGACTCAGCAGGAGGTAGCGTGTGTATATGTGTTTATGTGTGTGGCGATGGATGTGAATGTATGCAGTGGCCTGGACGATGAGGACTTAACTGGTATCATTAGCATTCACTGGGGCTGTGAATTTGTGTATTTACCAAAATAATCTAGCAGCAAAAAATATGGAAACTTTTCAGTCAAACAATATCTGTATTCAATCCCTTTTATATCAAGATGTAGGGAAGAAAAACCTTTTTATACAGTTTTGATCATAGCAAGAAGTTGTGTTGGAAACTGAATGCTTCCATTGACATGATTGGTATCGAATTGGTACCATTGGTATTGGTATCACTTTAAGGACACTGGTACTGAACTGCGGTGTCACACATACACTGGGTAGTGGTGTCTCGTGCTGATTTGAGGTATAATACATTCCACAGGAAATGACTACAGGGTTAGATTAATCCAGAATAAATACACATGTTAATAAGTCACATTTAAGAATGTGTCTTCATAGCCTTGAACTAGGTTACAAAGGAGAAAGAAATGTCTGCTTTGAGACTGTGGTAAGCACAATTGATTTGTGTGAGTTTCAGATCAACAACCAATTATTCTATTATAATTTAAGTGGACTGTTGTGTGATCCTTCACTGCAAAAACAACCATTCTGCATTAGTCATCTCATCATCAAATCTCTGCAGAGGTTTATTTTACTTGGCTTAGCATGTAAAGTAAGTTGCAAAATACCCCCACCCCTTAAACCGTTTCCAGACTGTACGTCTTCCCTCAGTTTGAAACACTTATACTACTCATGCGGATTGAATGGCATTACACAATTGCGTGTAATGTATAATATGCACACCCAATTTTCAGAGGACTGTTTCATGTTAAATAACTTCAAAGGGCCTCTATGGTTACCACCATAATAATGGACACTACTCTAGAAGGTGAATACACCATCCATCTACTTCTTCTGTTTCCTGCAGTTTCCAACACATAGCGTCATAGTAACATAGATCTAAGGAACTGAACTAAAGTCTATTCAACACACTGGGAGGCTTGCTTTAAAGTCTTTACACTGCCATTTGGCCCACAGTATGTGCTTATTTTCCTGTGTGCTGTATGTATGTGTGGGTGTGGCGATGGGGCTCCTTTCTGCACAGTATGGTCTGCAGTATCAGGTTAGCCCGATGCATACATTATCTGCATGTTTGCCCCTAAAATTACACTGCACTACAAAAATAGTCCAAATGTAAACAAGGATGGATTTTGTTTGCACAACCTGGTCTATTTGAAGGAGAGAGGCAGCAGACCTCAGCAGGAGGCTGCAGTGGCCTCCTCTCACCAGACAGAGGCGTGCAGGGCAGTCTATTTCCATCTGTCCCTCTTTACCTCTCTGATCACACACATATCTGATTAAAACATAGTTTTGCTCAACAGCTTTCCCTTAAGGTTCAACTGTAATTCATCTGAATTATTCAATAACATCTTAGGGATAAGGAATTGAATTCTGTATACTTAGAAACCTTGTTGTGATATTTAGCTATTTCACTTTTTATTTATAGATCAAGCTTTAATAAGTTTCAATTGATTCCAAACAATCCTATAACATTCCTGCAATTAAAGTATAACTAATGAATCAGTAAGTTTATAGAGACACTGTGTACTGATAAGGCCAACCTCTTATGGAATCATGATGTTCATATTTCCCTCATTTATAATAATATTACAGTGGGCTCTTAAGCCAAGCTTTTTCTTGTGAAAGAATGACAATACTTATTAAGAATCGAATACATTATTTTATATGTTTAAACAATAAACAAAAGGCCCTGAAATGTTAATTAAATAATATTCATTTAATTGTTGTCTATATTAGAAATGTCATGGCGGTTTAGTGTATCCTACCAGAATAGCCCATACTGTACATGTTAAAATATTTGCTGCACAGTCAACAGATCATGCAGTTGCTTGCGATAGGTTAGTAAATTCAACCAAAATCTCACAAACTTTAATAACTCCAGATATGTATGCATGCATGTTTCACCTCATTGCGCTGCAGCTGAAAGAAGTTGTTGAGATAGTTGGAGTTCAGGGACGAGCTCAGCTCCGCCGCTGCGGGAGTCTTGCTGAAACTGAGATCCGGGTGGGAAGAGTTGGGTTCGGGTCTGAATGCGTCAAAGGCGCTGGTCTGGTGGGGGTCTTGTAAGGAAAGATAGACCCAGTTGAGAAGTTGCGCAGGCTGGTACACGGAGGCACTCGTGTCTATGGCAGACAACAAGCTCATCTTTCAATTCAAATGGCTAAACTGGATTTTCCACCGCTGATTCTTGGACTGGTCTCAACTCTTTTGCCGTCTTTGCTTTTCGTTCCCCGGCAGATGGCAAGTGCTCCTTTTTTATCCCCGTAAAGGGCCCTGTCCTCCTCACGCCGGGAGCCTCGTCCCAGTTAGATGTTACTCAAAAGTCATTGCGCTAACATGTCAGTATAAAAAGTTTTCCCCTGCTCCCCATGGTCCGCTATCTGCCTTTATTGCAGCGGGGCAGAGAGAGGCTGTTTGAATATGTAATGAGGACGGCTCTACGTCACAGAGCACGCAGACCAATCAGCGATTAGTTTGGATGAATATTCACGACCAGCCCACTGGATGAGACAAATGGTTCATCTGGCTCTTCTAGACATTAAATCCATCAGATATTTTCACCAAGGTTAATATACTCTGCCAACTTAGCCAATGAAACTAAACAATTGTAATACATAATTAAACATAATCATAATTTTCAGCCATATGATGCCATGTATTAGTAACCTATTTGGTACTAATAACATTTGTTTGTCGGTGTTAGGTGGGAGGGGAGGGGATGGGATGATAGGTGTTTTGTTTATTTATGGTTAGAAGTGAGTAGACACCTTACTGACTACTATTTGGAGTGTCCCTGTGACTTATGCTAATTTAGTAAAGGCTTAACATTAGGTAAACAGTGTTTCTCCCATATCATTACATTCCAAATTCTGTCAGAAAAGTTGATCAGCCGTCTGCAAAATAATGATTAATGTTTGGAACAAAATAAAGAAATGGATCATTCGTAAGTAAGGCACATTAGAAAATACTAATAATAATTGAACACCAGGCCCCGGCCTCTTTATTGAGCGCCTCGCATACTCCAAGACATCCGCTAGGTGGCAGTTTATACACTTTATTGGTAGAAGCCGAGGTAGTGTGGAGAAAACCTTTAGACTGGCTCCCTCTTGTGTCAAATGTCTTTCACACACACAGACAGTACAGTTGTGTAATTCCTAACAGAAGTGTGTACAGCTTCCTTATTTTTTTACTCAAGACTCAGTTTCCTTCTTATGATCAGTGACAGATAAAGATATCCCTTCCTCATTGGTGTTGATAGGTCATGATCACATCACAGCCACGTCACAATAACCAGTCACAATGCATTTAATAAAATCATTCACGTGTTTTTATCTGCTTTTACTTTCTTTAAAGCGTTTAGTATAATTGTGAATAAAAGGGCTGATACAAATTGAGTTTATTACAACTATGATTATTATTGGTTTAATTTACAGAGCCCCCTCTGTAAATTAAACCAATATATCATATATCCCTTTATATCATCTGATTGTTAATAATTCGTAAATGTGGATCAGTAGACCTAAAGACCGTCATGTTTGTGGTTTGTTTATTTGACAACATGCCTGTGAAATAAAAGACCTATTGAACATATAGGTGAGGTCGGTCTGTCACATTTTCCATCATGCCATTGATGGCCAGGTATGTATGGTTAACAAATATTTGTTATTGTCACATGGTGGTGACAGGACAGCTGTATGTGTCACTGCTGTAGTGTGACGGGCAGACATCTGGGTGGGTTCTTTAAATGGAAACTCTGAGTCCCACCCACAGCAGTCAAGTACAGACAGAACTGAAGCTGCTAAATAGAGATCTACGTCCTCCAGGAAGAGACTGCAAGCAGACTAAAGTAAGTGCTAAAATCCAACAACTATTCAGGCCTAGCTAGAATGGTAAATGATATAGGCCTATTAGCTTACATTACAAGTTATGTGTGGATAAGTGGGAACTATTTTTGTAGTCGTTTTGTGGTCGTTGCTCTGCTGTTCTCGGCGCTGTCGTTAGCCTACCAATGCATAGTTACCAGTGCCTTTAACCATTTAAGGTTACAAAATCCTCGTCTTGCTTTTGCTCCAGTTTGCTGCTTTAATATCGACAGCTTATTTATGCTTAACCAGTTAGCTAGGTTAGCTCAGTTACAGCTCAGAGCACTGCGGATACAGCCACATTATGTAAATAGTTTGAAGATTAGGCTTACAGGCCTGAAGCCCGCGTTGTAAAAGCTAGCGTTCGGTTAAAAACGAAAGTTGTGTTACACACAAGCCAGTTTAATGTCTGTTTTCCATTGACTAATTATTCTATTGACTGTTCAGCATATTGTTAAACTATCTGTGCAGTGTTCTCACTACCCCAGTAAAGTCATTAATGTTTCGCCGATCTAGACATCTTTTTTTTTTAAACTGAGTAAACTTGACACACCCTGCAATAAAACACTTTGGAACAAGATGTTAAGGTTAGCTAAACATAAGCGGAACTGTCTTAACACACATTTGGAAGGTATTATTGCCCCATATTGTGGACTTTGGTTATTTGTAACACATTTTACCCAAAAACTATACAATTCTTTACTCCCTAAGCAAATAACATTATGGCTGTAGCCTACATTGGTGTTAAGATTCGCACGTGCATTGTGTTTCTGCACATGATTTCTCCACAGAAATTTCTGCACATGATTGGCTTTTTAAGCAGGTTATTGACATGAAGTTTAAAAGTAAGACAATCATCAAGCCAGATACCTAGGTATTTATAACAGGCAACCACTTCTAGTACTTGTCCTTGCATATTAACAATATCTAAAACAGGCTCTGGTGTCTTTTTAGCTTTTGAAATAGCTTTTGTGTTTCTGTAAAGCCACAGCTTCTCACAGTTTGAAGCGCTCCGCGCTGTAGTGGAAATGCGCCATAATGCGAAATGTTTTCACCTGAACAGCAAGGAAATGTGTTGTTAAACCTGAACCATCTGACCCTAAAGAAGTCAAACGTTGTGACCAAATGTGTTTCACAAAGGCACTAGACTTAGGGCATATTAGGATGAATGGGTTAAAAACAACACTCAAGCTGTCTCTATATTGACATCTTTTTCCTACAAGAATCTGAAAGTAGGTAATATAATACGTTATTTATTTACTGAACCTTAAAAGCTTTTATCTTATTGAATTGGACATCTGTATTTCATAAGGTAGGTTCCCTGCTCTGTGTGCCTATTCAAACACAGCCATGTCTGTTTCTGTGTCCATAAAATGCAAAGCAGAGAAACTGTTCCATTAAGTCCTGTGAAGTCAGTCTTACCATGGAACAAGTAGGCATACTGGAGCAAGGGCATTTCATGTTAGGCTAAAACCAAAAAGAAAGTTTCCTCACCAACCCACCACTATAATAATAATGTCTCTGACCCAATGGCCCTGGAACAAACTGTTTGCAATTATTTGGATTGCAGTGACACTTCAGAACGTTGCTACATAAAAATAAAAAAAAAGACTGGGAAGTGTCATTGTACTACTAAGGGTGTCATTTTTGGTAAACGCACATGACAGTGTACTGAGAAACGGCTAAGGTTAACAGAATGAATTTACCTGGTCATGAAGTCAGCATTGTTTGACTTAGACATCTAAGGCAAGACACTTTGGAAGTCCTAAAAAGATCAACTCACAGATGCTGAATTTCTAAAGAGAAACTACCAACTAAAAAGGAAATCTTCCCACACATTAACAGCATTGTTCTCTTTCTTTCTGTCCTACCAACAGATAAAAACACATATTATTTGGTCATCTTTGGCAGCCCTTTGATTGACAGTCCACTTTTATTCCTAAAGCCATGAGCTACCCTGGATACCCCCCTCAGGCTGGCGGTTACCCACCACAGCCTGGGGCTTACCCTTCACAACCTGGTGCTTACCCACCTCAGCCTGGAGCTTACCCACCCCAAGCTGGAGGCTACCCACCGCAGGCTGGTGGATACCCTCCTCAACAGCCTGGTGGTTACCCTCCTCAACAACCTGGTGGTTACCCTCCTCAGCAGCCGGGTGGCTATCCTCCTCAGCAGCCTGGTGGCTACCCTCCGCAGGCTGGAGGCTACCCACCACAAGCTGGAGGCTACCCACAGGCCCCCCCTCAAGGTAAGCTATTGTGCTGTTTATGATAAAGTAAGATTTCAAAATTTGGGAAATATGTTAGCCAAAGCTGCCTACTTTCTCATCTAGCAGATAATCACAATAGAGGATTTATATATACTTGCAGAAGAGCGAACATTTGTAAAACAGAGTGTTAAGGTATTTTGTAGCCTATCATAGAAAAGGGCAGTCAGTAATCTCGTGTTTTTAGGCCACAGGCATCATGAGACCTATAGTTAAAAGAGTGGAATTTAGTTTTCACCAAAAACAAACAAATGTCTTCTGTTGCTAGGTGAAGCAATTCCCACAGTCAGTCCCTCACATTGTACTCCCATTCTCCGTCTAGCTCCTTTTCACCTACACGTTAACTAGTTGGGTCGCGAGAAAAAGGAAGTTCCACTCAGAGCAGTCCTTCCTGTCTAACATTCTAAATTATGTCAGGCATGTAGTCGCACAATGCGCCCTAAACTCTTCTGAACAGCTCTGTCTTTGTTGTGTGCTGCAGGCAGCTGGGGCGGGGGCCCTGCTGGTGGATACCCCTCCATTGGTCTTGGCAACTTATCCAACCCTGGATACAACCCTGGCATGGTGAGTTTAGCCTTAAAAAACCTCCTTACAATTTTATTTTGAAATATGTGTATGATGCAACATCATCAGATTATTGCGTTGAATATTCCAGTTATAATTAGTTACACAGCCATTCATGGAATATCACAGACTTTCACTTTGTGGTAAGACTTTTCCAAAACATTGTCTTCTTTAAATCCTCAGCATCGCCATTGTCTCCGTCAGCTTCTCTTTCCGCATGAGAAAAACTGTCATTTACTTAAACCTATCAATCTAATCCAATTTGCATTCCTTTTCTTTTCTGAGTCATTGTCTTGTTATATGTTAACATGAATTTCCATCCTGTTATATAACATGGCCACACTTTTTTTGGATACTTTTATAACTGGAAGAAGTTTCAAACATGAGGACATTATCCACAGTTTTTCCTCTGAAGTAAGAGGCGTTATTATTCGATCAATTGCATAAATATAATAAATGCATCTAAATCTAATCTAAAAAAGGTGTGACCGGCTATCTCTGCTTTGCATTAATGAATCTTCAAACGTCTGTACACATTTTATGGGATGCTAATCTTTCTAAATCACAGGCCCACCAGACCCCTATAGGCATGGGGGGTTTTACTCCAAACCCATCCATGTACGCCCAAGCCCCCGGGGGGTACCCACCTGCTGCTCAGCCCAGCGGGTATGGTGCCCCCGCCCCTAACCAACAGTCATATGG